TTGTTTCTTGACTGTTCTAGAAAACAAATTCCGAAAATATTTATACTTTCCGAGATAACGAGTGTACCCACTTAAATGAATCACCCGGTACATAGTAAAATATAGATTTACCTTTCGAGGTTGTAGTGGATATAGTAAGAGTAGATAATATTACTGTTGAGTCTCGGGTGGACTTATCATTTTTTTAGGGTGATGGAGATCGGGCTTTATCAACTCGTGTAACCGTTTTCTTAAATGAAGAACTAAGATCGTTTTCAATCCCTCTCGGGGATTCTTGCGGTAGCATGGATCGAGATTCCTCGAATGGTAGCGACCTGGTAGTCGCATTTTGAGGCGAATAAGACTGTAAATTTCTATTAAGCGTCGAATGCGATTCTCGTAGTGAAATACTTCTTTCCGTTTTAATTATGGTTTTCCGAGTTTTGAAAAACGAGACATTGTCTAAGGTAGTACTGTTATTTTGTTTATGTGGCTGAGCTGGCGAACCGTCTCGAACGGTCTACATAATCAATAAGCAGTGTATAAATAGTAGTAAATAGTAGTAATAAATTAGATATTTTGTAAACAAAAATGAAATTATATACCTTTGATGAACGTGTTCCGGCGTTCTTTGAATCTTTATCATTGTTTGATGGTTCAATTTGCAGTTTAGCTTTACGTATTTGCGCTATTAGTCGTCTTCTGTTATCGTAACCCACTGCCTTTTCAAGCTAAACAAATACATACTAAAATATAATAAATATAAAAAAAACTATATCGAATGAGAAATTGTTCTATTTGTTCAACACATTAATATTTGATTGATACATTTTAAAAATAAATAAATACATAGAAGTGTTTAGATACTTATTTATTATACTTAATATTACTATTATTATACTTATTTATTATCGTTAGTTACAGGTATAAATTAAATAACTTTAGGCATCCCACCTTCCCAACTACCCATCTACAATAGCGGCCGCAACTGTCCTCAGTATCCGATATTTTTTTTACATATTATTGTTTTTTAAAACACGTATTGAAAAACAAAAAGGACTTTAATGCAGTTTAGCAAATTTGACTTAAACTTAAACATTATTTTATTATTTATTTTTGTTTTTATGTTACTCAAATGTATATTTTATATTTCTTTTGGGCAATTATTTAAAAACACGAGTATTAGCGTTTGTTAAATAAATTGTCTCCATATAATAATAAGATCTGACAATTCTGTTGTGATTAAAAAGCTTTACATTTTATTTTACGGCGTAGTAGATAGACTACATACACACAGATGTGTAATTTTCGAATCTTGATACCTATTTTAAGGAAATAGAAATTACATGCTATTAAATTCACCTCACCAGGCTATTATCTTGACATTATTAATTTATCATAATAGTAATAAATATTATTATATTATATTTGTATATTCACCATAAGCTCTAAAAGGTTCTGTGTTTTATCATTTGCAGTATGAACTGTAGTAGCTTTAATTACATTTGAAGTATTTATTGGTACAGATACAGTTTCTGTTCATTCATAATTGTTCATGAAAACACATGCTGGTACACAAATAATTCGACTTAGGTAGTTAAATATGACTGATTCTTTAGGTATAGGTACGCGTGGTTATAAGCAAAATAAGGAACCACAATGATTCATCCGGTTTAGTTCTCAGTATAATATAGAGTTTTGCAATTAAGCGTATTGACTTGTATAAACATTTTATACATCATAAAAGGCAGCTCCAATACATTTTATCAGCTTATTAGAGTTTAATAAGCGTCTATTATAACAATAACATGCGTGTTATAACATAATTTTTTACGAACAAGTACAGCATCTCTCATCTGCATCAATATAAACTCTTCCGGGTATAATAGACATTTTTGATAATAATACTGGCACTATAATTTAATCATGTTCTTAGCGAAGTGAAATAAGCCAAAATCGTGCCATTAGACCAATCGATCAAATTACACCCAGATCCTCATTGAACGCAATACAGATCAGAGATAATTTACACTTATAATAATAATCTAATAATATACTTTTATAATAACACCTTTTAATAAATAATTTAAAATTAGTAAATTCAACTGAGTACTTTCATTATAATACTTAAAATAAATATATATTTGAGCGAAATCATAATAGAGATTATCATCTAAATGAGTTAAAATAAGGCTCGTTTCAGCCGTATATATTGTGCGTGCATTGTAAATATTGTGAACACTAATTATATGTACTAAATGTACACAATATACACGAGTAATAAATATGCATAATAATATGTATATGT